ATCAATAAAAATAATAAATGTTAATAATTACCATAATTGCTAATAATTGTTACATAATTGGAATTAGCAGGTTGAGGAAGGTTTGTAAAATTTAATAGCCTGCTGGTATAAACAGCATTTGGATGAACTGTTGTAGTAATTGTTGAAGGTTCAAATAAAATTTTATCCATTTTATCAAACTCTTTTTTCTTTGATATTTTATCTGTATATGAAGGATGAAAATAAGTATTAAATGTTATACTGGTCCAATAACTAATAATTTCTTCAAGTTCTTCAGCAGTTGGACGTTTATCTGGATTAGCATCCATACACTTATATGCTAATTCAATGTAAAACTTTGGAGTATTATTTGAAAATGCTGGTCTTGCTCCTGCACATATATTAATTGCAAGATCTGGTCCATGTGCAATATTATTAAAAGGTTGTAATCCTGTTGAGACCACTGACATCAATACACCAAAACTATAGATATCTGATGCCATTGTGTATGGTTTACCATTTAACACTTCGGGAGCTAAATATGGCAGTACTCCAACAACCTCATTTTTGTTTGATGTTTGATTGGCTGAAATTGATAATCCCATATCAGAAATAAATGAACCACCACCATATTGTAGAATATTGCCACTGTGAAGGTCATGATGAATGATTTTTTTTTTATGAATACTCTTTAAACCAAGAATAACCCTATTAATGATATCCATTTTCTTATTCCAATTTAAAGTATTAAAATTTTTTGATAAAAAATTGTGAAGGCTTCCATATTTTGCATAATTCATTACAAAGATATATTCTTTTGTTGTTGGATCTTGTGTTAATCCATAAACCGGAACTGTATATCCATATCCACCACTAAACAATCCATAATTTTTAAACTAAAAAAGAATAAATAGTTTCAGCAACAACAATAATGACATTTTTTCCAAAAAAAAACAAACAAAAATAAATTACTACCTCATTTAAAAATTCCTCTGAAATATTTTGTGAATTGTGTAATTTTTTTAATGCAACCACCCTATCTTCACAAATTCTTCTCATTTCAGTATCATTATAAGCTTTCTCACCATTTAACCAAGTAGCTTTGTATATAGTTGCAAATCCACCTTCTCCAATCTTTTCAATATTTTTTATATCATCATAAGGAATCCATTGAAGGTGATATGCATTATAATAACATGTTGCTGTAAGTTGTGAACTTTTAATTATTTCATCCAAAGATTCATTACCACTAGTCCATCCTTCAGTTAATAGTTTTGGATCACAAGATCGACACCATGTAAAAATAGTATTATATCTTTTGCAAGTTGGACATGTACCAAATCTTTCTTCTCTGCGATCTGAATATTCATCCTCTGAAATTTTTTCCATCTTGAATAATTTAATTTATTTAAAATTAAAACGAAACCCTAATTGAGTCCTAAATTGGTAGACAATTTTATTAATGTCACATAATGTCGATCAATAATAATAAAAATCACGTTTCAGAAATGCTATATATTAAATCCGTGAAAAAGATATACACTATTTCCATTTTTGAATAAAGTATGTGTGTTATTGATACAGAGAGTAACAAATACCAACGGTGGAAAAATCATGATCAAAAATCGTCATTGTGCAACGTGGATGAATTTTTCGAAAGTAACTAGTCCATGAAAAAGGGTTATTATTTAAAGACAATTGCTTTTCTTTTTGGACATAACTTTGGGGTTTTTTTTCATTGTTTTTTTTTCCCAATATTCCATATAAAAATGCCTCTCATATCATGTAATACCATTAATTAGATTTGTTATATAGAAACTTTATATAGAGGTACGGCAGCTCTAACATTAAATTTCATTTATACAAAAATTTTAATGAAGCAAATAACTTTAATTATTATTACTTGGTATAGAGTTTTTGTAAAATTTAATAATCAGTCAATATGTGCTTTGGCAAGACGATTTATAGTTCATACAATTTAGGTAGATTTTTCAACTTTATATTCTTTCTTAATGAAATGTACGAGTTTATTGGTATTTTGGGGCCTCAATTAGAAGTTTCTGGGTCCATATGGTACAACTTATGTCAAAAAGGAGTGAATTTCTGACATTTTCTTCTATTTTAACAAAAAATGCGCTTCAAGAAATCCTTTCGTGTTTAACACTTCTTCAATAACAATTTTTTTGATTTATTTTGACATCGATCTCCCAAAAAAAAAAAAAAAAAAAAACAAATCTTATCAATATAAAAAATAATATCTTCAGAAGCCAATTTTTTGTGGGTTGTTGCTTGAACTATTCTTTGGCTATCAAACCTATAAAAATCAGCTTTGTAATACCAACCAAAGATTTATAAAATATTAATCTAATAAACCTAGAAAAAAAAAATAAACCAAGTGAACCATCTGATGATCAAAAGGTTGTGGGACGATTGTTTAATAAAGAGACTGGTTGAATCTAAAATTTTCATTCGATGAAAATGGTCACGAAAACTTCTGATTAACAAAAAATTAATCTTGACAAAAACAATCCAGGGGTGGGGTCGATAAAGAAAAGAATAAAAAATGGAGGAGAAAGAAAAATGAAGATGACACTAAATTGATAATAGTGAAAAATGGAATAGTGACCAAATAATCATCGTTGGCTTTGAGTCCTAATATTTAGCTTGCGAGGAGCTTTAGTATTTCCTATAAAATTGTTCCGGTGAATTTTTTATCTTATACAGTGTGTTACAAAAGTCTTTGGACAACCAATGACGAAATTAAAAACCGCACAGCTCGACCAGTTTAAATCCAAATTCGGTTAAATTTATCACTAACTTTTGTTTACAATTTATTCTAATACAAGCAAACAAAATGAAATCCAACAACCAAACCGCACAAGTCCAATCAATTCAACATTTGTGGGGAAAAGGAATTAGAGATGCTGCTGAAATTCAACGCAGAACAGCTATCCCAAGGTCAACAATCTATTATAACCTTGCAAAACTGGAGAAGACTGGAAGTACGGCTCACAAAAAACGTTCTGGTCGTCCCAAAAAAATTATGCCAGAAGGCTCAAAAGCTCTTGGACAATATATTAGACGGAATTCAGCAATATCATCAAGGAAATTGGCCAACAAACTGTCATTAAAGGGTATAAACGTCTCCTATGTGACAGTTTTGCAACATTTGGCTGATCTCGGTTATGATAAAAAGCATCCATTGGCAACACCAATGCTCACGGAAACACACAAACAAAAGAGGATAGAATGGGCCCAAAACCACATTAACAATAATTGGAAGTGCACACTCTTTACCGATGAGACATCCTTCTGGTTGTTTCGGAACACTGTAGAGTATTGGTACAAAGGTGCACGACCAGTTCGTCGCATTCCCAAAGATCGAACAAGAATTAATGCATGGGATGGGTTTTGTGCTAATGGAAAAACCAGTCTTTTTTGTTTCCGTGATAATATGACTGGCCCATTGTATGTTGATATTGTAAGGAAACACCTTCCTGAAGCTAATCAGATGCTTGGTAGGAATTGACAGCTCCAACAGGATAACAATCCTAAACACACGAGCCGCGTGGCCAAAGAATTTCTTCAAACAAACGTTCCATCTGTAATGGACTGGCCTTCCAATAGTCCTAATCCAAACCCCATAGAAAACATGTGGGCCATCATTAAGAGAAATGCGGAAATGCGACAACCAAAAAATATTGCAGAGTTAGAGAGGTTTATGGTGGAAGAATGGGATAATATCCCACAAAATGTTATAATTAATTTAATTAGGTCAATGAATGAACGTTGTCAGCTTGTTATTGATAATAATGGTGAATGAATTCCTTATTAATTTTTTTAAATAAAATCTCCTAATTCTAAGCTTTCAAATGAATGCTTGATCACATGATATAGCATGGTAATTGTGGAATAGTGACCAAATTTATTTGTCCAAAGACTTTTGTAACACACTGTATATTAATATTTAATATTTATGCAAATAAATTGGACCCAGTATGTATTTTTCTTTTGATTAAATGAAAATAGATAAAACATTGCCTATCCTTTGTTCCTTTCCTTGAATGTAAATACCTTTGTCCCACTATTATATCATGTCTATTACAATATCCATGATAATTATGCAGTGTATTTGATGTTATTATTGATAATTGAATCGCCAATGCAAAAATGAAAATTTGAGGAACCAATTTTAAAGAAGCCACATAATATCTTGACAAGTAAAAACGAGAAATTTGGCAGAGTTGGAAAATAAACCTTGATATTTTTGTTGAATTTAATCTGGGACTTTTTTCCATGTTCATTCATTACTTAGTTATCCATATGGTAATGTAAAGTCGTAGAATTCCTTAAAAATATTTTCCAAGAAATAAAATAATCTAACACATTAAGTTTAGTCGTCAAATTTAATAAAACTATTCACCTCACACCTGAGCAAGCTCTCAATTGTTATCCTCATAGCATGGGTAATGATCTCTTTGCAGTGAAATAAATTCAATAGGATAAATCTAGTAATGGTGAGTGCATCGACAAAGTTTAAAAGTCAATTATCATGTAACGATCATTTTTATCATCTATACAAGCGTGATTTTTTTTTTCGGAAAAAGAAGAAAATACTAGTATTAGTCTGACACAAAGATGTGAATTAGCTTCACAATACTATTTCATATTAAATTAATAAGCTTCCAAATAAATCTGAAAATTTTATTTAATAATCGTTGAGATATATAATTTTTTCTCACTCCGTTTTGTTATCAACGTGCTCTATAAACACCATTACCATGTAGTGATTTTAATTGAATTCGTCGATGCAAAATTGTTTTTATATACAAGAAAAAAATTATTCGAATTATAAAAAATTCCTATGCGTAAAATTGGCAAGTTGGTTTATGAATTTTGTTTCCTTTTTTAAGAATTTCTTTATAATCTGCAAAACATCTATATAATAACTTATGTTAATTAATTATAAAACAAATAAATATTTTATTTTTAGACGTATTTAATATATATATATATATTACTTACAACCAACAGAATTCATATCTACATGTTACAATTTTACAAGTTATATGATTACATCCACCATTTTTTACAATACGAATACCACATTTAGGACAAGGTTTAGTTTCTCGCTGTAGATAATCGTCAGTGGCAGCTTCTTCGACTTTTCTCAATTCGTCGTATTTTTCACATGTCAAACCCCCATGCCATGGTACATCGTGTGTATAACATGATTTTGAACCACAAGCGTGACATTTCATTATTTGAACATCAGCTTAGGAATAATAAGAAGAAAATGATTAACAATCAACTAAAAATATTTAATTTTCAAAATGGAATCTTTATCACCTCCTCCTTCATGAATTTGACCAGATCCACAACCAGGGCTTTTACACCATCTAAACTCGGCTGAGTTATTAAGGCTTTGTCTCAACATTAAATTATCAAGTCTAAAGTTTTTTTATTTATAATATATTATGAAATGACAATATTTTTATAAATTTTATCTCGATTGTTTTTTTTTTAAAAGAAAAATAAAATAAACAAACCTTTTGTATAATTTATTATTGCTTCCAAATCTTTTTACATCATTAGGGAAAATTCTTTCCCTACAGTTTAATGTTGGACAATTTATATACGCATCTAACTTAGCTTTAACATGTGAAATAAAACATTTTTTACAAATATCTTGTTCATGTTTACAATCTCCAGTAGACGTTTTTAAATTTTTTATATCCTTGGCTTCTAAACATCCAAGGCAAAGTTTTTTATTGGCAGATTCATCAACGTCGTCATTTTCATCTTCGCTATTTTCATCTTCGCTACTTTCTTCATTAGGCACTATATTATCAGTTTGGATAGAATTCCTTAAGTTAGATTCGCCATTGCCCATTATTATTAGTGGTAAATAATATTTGAAATTGTTGTGTTGTTATTAAAAAAATTTTTTATTAAAGTAAAATACTAAATCTTATTCAATGAAATGAACAGGATATTTATTACATTTATTTAAAATACAGTCTATATACTAATTTGGAAAATTCTTATTTTAATACAGGAATTATTGCGCCACGAGAACTTTTAACAATATCTTTTTTTAAAACTATTATAATCTTTTGAACTTTGACTTTTTCTTTGGAAAAGATTACATTAATTAAAAGAAACGTCACAACAAATACGTTTCTATGTTGGAGATCATCGAGTTTCTTTTGCTTTTATGGCTTCAATGGAATTTTTGTAGCTGCATAATAATGACCCTAACCCTAATGTAGTCTTGATTTTATGAATCGGATTTCTTTTCCGATCGAACAATTTTAAACCAGATCTATGGATTTTTTTCAAGATATTGAATCTAAATATTAGAATGAATTTGAATTTAGTAATGTGTCATAAACGTTAGTTATGTATTGCAACAAACAAAATTAGTAACTTGGACGAAGATATTTTATTGAATGATTTGTACCAAATATATATCTGAAAAATCCAATTAGAAAACTATTTGAACTTTGAACTGATATATCTTAAACTATGTAATAAAATTTCAAATGACGATTTGATTTTTCAAACTCTCATATCTTGTCGAATTTCCTTTTTGGAAAACCTATTTTCATTAGATGTGTACTTGTGAGTCCCAACATATTTACTATTACTATATACATGTATATTATTACTATACCATAAATTAAAAATCCGGGTCAACTGATGATTTCAAGAGGGCTGATTTTGCCACATGTAAAAACTCTTTGGTGGCTGAGATCAAATCACAAAATAAATTATGTCCATCATATTTAGTAAAATCGTGGGAAGAAATAAAAGGACATTGATGATGGATTTATGATGACAACTTTGTAGTTTGTTATTTTAAATGAGGGCAAGCAATTTCACGCACCTTTCTTTGGATAAACTATTAATGAATCTAGCTTCTTATAACTAGGCGATCAAGGTTCTTTGTATGTGACGGATTTAAGATACAAATCATTATATCGTAGGATACAACCTGGAAATTTTTTTCTACCAAGGAATTTATATGATCTCGGCGTCCTTCCTCTCTATGAATGCTATCTCCTTTTTGAGTTCATAAATAGTTTCAGTAGAAAATTACTTTATTGGGTTTCCCTAAATTAAGGGATTCAGGTCACAGAATTGCTCCCTATTATTATTCAAAAGTTGCTACAAGCAAAGGTTAATAGCCAGCATGAATGTTCCTTGGATTATATATAATATTCTAATTTTTCTTTTTTCTTTCACTACAAAAAAAGAACATTATAACAAGCTTGGGAAATCTCATCAGGGAATGTTACCAAAAGAAAAACAAAGAACTTTTGAGTCGGATAAAAGAATTGAAAAGGAAACCATTCCACACTCCTATAAAAGTTCCCAACTGGTTAGTGTTTGGTACACAAATTGATAGAACAAATTGAAATTAGTTAACTTGGTTGTTTTTATTATTATTATTTGCTTGAGCATTGTCTTGTGATGGATGGATGAATTTGCGTAAATTCGAAATTCACGCGTGTGAAATTCAAATTAGCCTATACAAATGATTAGAATAAAGATGTGTAAAAAAATTACTGTTTTTACAATTAAATTGATTAATATTAACGTCTCTAGGCCATAGTAGTAGTGTTGATTGAAGTAGCAAAAAACATGATTTGTAAAAATATGCCTTACATATACATTCAGCAGGATCATTCAATAACTTGAATACAGAATTTGTATTTCAATCGCTTAATTTTTCACAAGGGAAGAATATTTTATTTGCTTTTATAAAATGTTCCTCAAAAGAAGGATATAATTCTCAATTTAGCCAATCACATTAATTTTAAATTCTACCAATCAAAAATTCCATATTCAAATCCATATTAAAAAACTAGCGCGTCACAAAACAATAAACAACAAACTTTATTCTTTTAAAATTTTTTACTATATAATAATAACAATAATAGTAATTATAATATGGAAAGTATGGAAAACCCTCATGAAGAACAACAACGAACTTTATTACATAGAATTGTTTTAAACATTGTAAGTTTTCATTCTTATAAATTTCACAAAACCTTCTCACACAAGAATTTACAATCTTATTTTTATTCTCATAGAAAAAGCTTAATGATGCTTTAGAAGGTGTTAATGATCGTACTCAGGTTTTTTTTTTGATTATTATCAAACAATAATGATGATGATTATGATGATGATGATTAATATTTTCATGTTCATTTATAATTAGCGAATTAATGAAAATAATAATGAATTGGTACATTTATCACAATTCTGGATGAATTATAGCAGGAATGTTGCTTTTAATCTTGAAAGCATGCAGAAATTGCAAGAACAGGATTCAAAAAATACAAACAAATAAATAAATCAAAGAAAATTTTCTGGACATGTATTATTATTGACTTTTAATGCCTTCACTTTTAATTAATTTGATTAAAATAAAAATGTAATTGAAAATAATAGTATATGTGGATTTAAAACAAAAATAATTTGAAAGCCAGTAGTACAATTGTGATGTTAAAAATTTTGAACCCTGAGTCCTTGGTAATACAAATATTCACTTTGTCTGGTTTTGTTGCAGCATGCCCAATTTATTGATTGATTATTAATCTAAATGTCTAAATTCATTTGCTTAGAATCTACAAATATTAATTAAAAAATAATATTAATATTCTTTGTGATATTAATTTTAAATTATTCAATAATCAAAATAATTACCATTATTATTGCCAATAATTGTCACTTTATTGGAATTTACAGGTTGAGGTAGGTTTTTAAATTTCAATAATTTGCTGGAATAAAAGGCTTCTGGATGAATGGTCGTTGCAATTGTCGAAGAATCAAATTTAATCTTATCCATTTCTTCAAATTCTTTTCGAATCGGGTCTTCCTTGTTTTTATCTAATATTAATTTTATATACCAAGTATAAATAACATCCCAAGTTTCTCTGGCAGTTGGACGTTTATCTGGATTAGCATCCATGCATCTATATGCAAATTCAATATAAAATTTTGGGGTGTTGTTGGAGAATCCTGGTCTTATTCCTTGACATATTTTAATTGCAAGACCTAGATCATGTGCAAGATTAGTAAAAGGTTGTAATCCTGTTGAGACCACTGACATCAATACACCAAAACTATAGATATCTGATGCCATTGTGTATGGTTTACCATTTAACACTTCGGGAGCTAAATATGGCAAGACTCCATGAATTTCATTTTCATTTGATGTTGATATTTGATTAGCTGGAATTGATAATCCCAAATCTGAAATATATGAACCAATACCATATTGTAGAATATTGCCACTGTGAAGATCATGATGAATGATATTTCTTTGATGAATTTGCTTTAAACCATTAATAATATCATGAAGAATTTCTATTTTATTTGCCCATTTCAAATATTTAAATGTTTTTGATATATAATTTTGAAGACTTCCATCCTCAATATATTGCATTACAAACATATATTCTTTGTAATTTGATCTTGCGTTAATCCATAAATTTTAATTATCTGAACATTATCATGAAACATAATATAATTTTTAAACTAAAAAAAAAAATAAATATTTAATTAAAAAAAAATAATTAATAAAATTTTTTTTAAATAAATAGAAAAAAACTATTACCTCATTTAAAAATTCTTCTGAAATATTTTGAGAATTATGTAATTTTTTCAATGCAACAATTCTATCTTTAGAATATCTTCCAAAATCTGTGTATTTATTGCCATTTATCCAAGTAGCTTTGTATATAGTTGCAAATCCACCTTCACCTATCTTTTCAATATTTTTTATATCATAATAAGGAATCCATTGAAGATAACGTTCATTATCATAACTTGTTGCCTCAAGTTGTGAACATTTGATTATTTTATCTATAGTTTCATTGCCACTAGTCCATCCTTCTGTTAATAACTTTGAATCACAATATTTGCACCATTCCCAATTAGTTTTATATTCATTACAAGTTGAACATGCGTCATATTCTTTTATTATATCAAGATTGAATAATTTTGCAAGTATTTCGAATATTCCCATGTCTAAATTGATCAACTGTTGTGGATCCCGCAAATCTTAATCCAAAAATAGTAAGTCAATTTATGTAAAAAAAAAATAGCACGTGAAAAATATTATGAAAGCATATTATTTTTTGTTAAAAAGTTTAAGATAAATAAATATTTTATTACAATTATTAACAATTATTAATAAAGACGTGAAAAAAATTTTTAATTTTGGAATAGAACATTTTTTGTCTGGTATAAATATTTCGAAAATCTTGACAACTATTTATTAGACTTGGAAATCTCGTTTATTTTTGTCAAACGCGCTAACCTACAGTTTTTCAAAAAAAAGAAATCTTCTACAGTCCGTTTTATAAACTATGCAACAATATGCAAATTACAATTTGCTATTTTATTATTTAGAGATTGCAATTTTTGAATTTTGCAAACTGCAGATTGCAAATTGCATATTGCAAAGGTTTGTTTCTGAACTTTTGGTAAACTGAATTTTTGGGGAAGAATGAGAGCAAAATTGAAATACAAAACATTGCGGCGAATAAAATTTTTTTTGTGTTGACACAACTCTTTTTTTTTTGAAAAATGTAAATAATAATAATGATACATTCGTTTATAAATTTTAATAATGTTCATTGATTGTTGTTGGCAATTAAAAAACCATTGATTTTGTTCTTTTCTGCTTATTAATGATTATAAAATAACATGGTGATAATTTTTTTCCCTAGATTGTTGTTAATTATTAATTAATATAATAAAAAAAAATAGTGCGGGTTTTTCCGCGATTCTGAAAATTATTTTGATCGTGTCACATATTCATATTTACGAAAGCCGGTTTACGTCGTATGACTGTACAAAAAGCACGTTAATGTTTAAATATGTATTGTCACCGATTAAATTTGATAACAATTATTTTTGTTTTTGCGTGGATCAGAATGAATAGGGGATCAACGAATTGATTTTGTTATTAGCGAATAATTTTGGTTAAAGATAAAAGTTTATTTAAATAAAATATTACTATTTTATTTATTTAGTTTTCTTAGTCGAAACTAATTGACTTATGAGAAAGTTACTTTACAAGTACATTGAATTCAAGATCCTTATATACAATTCAATTAATTAGTAATTCTAATATCCCAAAATTGAGATATTCTCTCAATATTGAGAAGTTATCCCAAAATTGAGACGATATCTCAAAATTGCGAGGATATCCCAAAATTGTGAGGATATCCCAAGTTGATTCTTTCTTAAATAAACTACGACGTTATACAAATAATTAATAAATAAAATATAATAGATAAAATAATACTAAATTAATAAAGGTTATAACTAAAAATATAATAATAATAAAAATTAAGAATTTCGGAATTAGTTAAATTCGGCCAAAAGAGCGTCCAAATCTAATTCCAGTAACAAATTGTTTCAACCCTGCCTGCTCTGAGATTGAGCATTATCATCTGAAATACCCATAACTTTGAAAGGTTCAAAGATTGAAGAAGAGGTAATAAGTAATCTTTGAATATTTTTTCATATACTTCACCTGTAATGTTAACATCAAATTTATAAGTGGACCAATTTGATCTTGAGTAAAGCATCTCCATACCATTATTCCAGGTGAGTGGGCAACCTTAGGTACTAAACAATCAATTTTATATTTCTCATGGGGTTGTCTCCAAGCCCAATTTTGGGAGTCATTTGTCAAATATAATGAATCTTGATTCATCACTGAATATGACTTCATTCCACTCTAATCAATCTTTACAACATCTCACAAAATGACAACATTTCTTTCTATTTACTTCTGATATTAAAGGCTTTCTTTCTCCTGCACATATATGGTAACCCATATAAATTTCTTTGCACCATTCTTGTACTTACAAGCCTTATTTATCTCATTTGGACAACTTTCACTAAAGCATGTTTACCTCTATCTGAAAGTGACTTGGGTTTCCCACTTCTCTTATCATTTTCAACAGTTCCTTCTTTATTATATCTTTCTAGAATATTATATATGGTTATCAATTGCATCCCAAGTCTTTTGCTTATTTTTGTCTTACATCCCATTTTCAAGCAACAACTACTTTTGCATACACAACAACAAATAATTCTCTAATTTTAGTCATCTGATTTAAATGATTTTTTTGTGAAATGATATAAAGATCTAAAAACAATTTTATAAGTGTATGTTTATTAGGGATCCAAAATTTCATGTGTAACAAATTTTTCCTAGGGGTTGGCACCGTTAACCATTCAACCGTGGTTAACCGGGAATTACTCGTTTATTCGTTTTATTCATTTTGTTCGTTTTGTTCGTTTTGTTCGTTTTGTTCGTTTCATTCGTTTCATTCGTTTCATTCGAATAGAAATCCTAAGGACGTTCTATTTTTTCAGTTCATATATAAAATTCATCGTCTCCGCAAACTTTTAAACTTTTATTGTTTCAGGTTATAAAATACAACGCCATTGAGTAATTAAGCCTGTGTCTCCAGAAAAAAACTCATTCACTGGTTGTTATTAGATTAGAAATTAGTGGGTTTGGTTCTAAATAAGCAGAGTGCAAAATTAGAATACCAGGAACTGCCAAATAGTTTTAGCCTAAGCTCTAAATAGTTCGGTTCGGTTTCGGTTTGGTTCAAAGAGTAAACCGAACCGTTCGGAGCTTTAGAAATTATACAAATTCAAGAAAAATATCTAAAGACCTTTTTTCAGAGAAAATCCAGATTTTCAAAGTACTATTTCCAACCTTGGTTGAAGGATGAATGTGTAGTTCGATATATCTTTTTTTTTCTGAAATAAAGAATTATATATAATAACGCAAAAAAGATTAGCAAGAAATGATTTTTTTTCCTCAAATTAATCATTTTTCATTCCCAATTAACAAGTCAATTGGATCACATCTCCAAACAAAATGCCCGGTCAGTATGGTAATATCTTGCAGAATGTTACTATTACCAATTGTTAAGTGTAACTGATCTCTTCCCTTCGGTCTAAAGATTAAAAGCAAGAGCATCAACATCTATATATATCGATCCAATTCAACCTGACTTCACTAACTGATTCAAATCCACAGTGTTTTTTATTTCTACCCTGTCAGCAGATAATATGAACTCATTCTTTTTTTACGTTTTCATCGATGTTCTCCTTTTCTAATTGTTGGATGTACCTTTTCTCAAAATCTTTTTAAAACTGATATTTAAAATATTAACTTGGCTAGAAAATAGTGATCAAAAAAATTACATTATCTAAAGTATATGAAAAGTTCCAAATTTTACTATATTTTAATTTTAATGAAATAATTAATAAATTATTAATATCACAACCATCATTTTCAAATTTTCTTTGCAAAACTTATCAGTTGAAAATAAAAATAAGATAACCTATTACTTTGTGATTTTGTGTAGATCAATTTTGAAATCATGTTTAACAATTTGAAATTCTCTCTAAAAAATTTTGCCAATATTTGTAATAAAGATATCAGTAGAAATTATAATAAAAATATACATTTAAAAAAGAAAGTCTTTATAAATAATAATTATAATATTTTTATTAATCAGAATCAATTACATTTTCATAAAAATAATGTTAATTTGTTAATTGAAAAAGTCAATTATAACAACAAATATATCCATTCATCGTTTTTCAATTATTTTGATAAATCTAACATCATTTACAATAATGATGATAGCAAAAGTAATGATAACGATGGTAACAATGATTCTGGCAACAATAATAATACTGTCACAAACACTACTAAAAGTATAGATGTTGACACAAAAACCACTAGCAACATTGCAGAAATCACCAACACAGCTTCATCTTCGTTGTCTTCATCACCACCAGCAGCAGCATCAGCTAATGATCAACAAAATTTAGATAGACGTCTATTAATTTCATTTACATGTAAAGTGTGTTCTCACCAATCAACAAAGACGATGTCAAAACACTCATATGATCATGGTGTAGTGATTATACAATGTCCTTCATGTAATAATAATCATTTGATAGCTGATCATTTAGGATGGTTTCGTGATGGTAAAACAACTATAGAAGACTTGATGCTTGAAAAAGGTGAAAAGGTTTTGAAATTTATTGCAGATGAGAAGTTTGAATGGAATTCTGAGACAATTGGGAAGGGAAAATTGAGAATAAAATTACAAAAAAATTCAATCAAAGGAAAAGGTCAATTTCCTGAAGATGATTAGTTACTAAAACTGATGTTGGTTTTTCTGTTACTGTTGATTAAAAGAAATTTTCTTGATTGATTATCTGTGAAAATTTCAGAATGGTAGACCATTATATATTATTATACTGCGTATATTTATTTAGTAATAATTAAATTTAAAATATCATTAATGTCTGGCAACATCAAAAATTGGTATACTTGTTGTCATAGTAATTAATAATCATTTTTGCAATCAATGCTCTTTTTTTAATAAAATTATATATCATAAATTTAAAGCTGTAATAAAACAAAAGAAATACATCTTTAATCATCAGATAATCACCCAATCATCATCATCTCCTTCATCACTTTCCAGATAATCTCTGGGTAATTAATTTCATTGTGAATTCTTTGGAACCTCATTCTTTATCAAAAGTTACTAATTAAAAATATCAGTTTGAACAAAATATATTTCAATAAATTATATTAACTTGTTACAATTATTAAATACTTTAAACAACCGTTTATTCAACTCATTATATAGAGGATTGATAAGTTTTCTAAATCTTGACAATTTAAACCAATTGATTGCTGTCATTTTGACTACAAATTTTTCCATTTATTCTAATAATGTTTAGACAATTATGACAAAAACAGAAATGACTTTTTTTCAATATCCAAGTCTGATTCTTTTATTTTTGTAATAAAAAAACATCCTCAATTTTGTATAATGGTGGATTATTGCTTAATATCGTTCTTCTGTCTGGTCTTATTTGATCCAAATCATCATGTTCTTCGAATCTTTGCCTTGTTACTTAATCCTCCTAAGGAAGGATCTATAATAGTCATTGACGGCTAGGGTACTGTGAATAAATTACGATTTCTTCTTTCTCTATTAATGCTTGAATCCACAATCCCTTATAATGTGCCCTAGTTGCCCGCAGGAATAACATTTCTTTTTTGGATCTTTGTTTGTCAAGTTGTCAATAGTTCTATCCCGTGATAATAGAACCTAAATAATTGATCCGGATTTACCCTTGAAATAAAGAAATACGAGGCCCACTGCTATCAATTCGGGATAGTTATCTTTCCAATTAGAATTTGATAGTAAAGGCAGTTAATAATATCCAGTGTGATGAGTTCAAGATATTTAATTGCATCTAGCAGTTTATTTGTAAAGATGAAGATAAAAACAAAGGTATGCTTTGCATTCAATAGTTCTAACAATAATTTAATTATCAATCATGAATTGAAATTTGGGTTTCTGTATCAAATCAAATGGTTTTAGTCCACACAACCTGCACAAGCGTCATTGATTAATTTTTTGGGAGAGCGAATTTAATTAAATCAGTAGATCATGAGGTCAAACCAGGGTATTTACTAGCAATAGTTTTGGGTATGATTTGATTATCAAGTCGAAACTCGTTAGTTATTATGATTATAAGAATCTAATTTTTGTTTGCTCTTATGATTTGATTGGCTGATCATTACACATCAAATGCAAATGAAAATCATTTATTTTTTTTTTCTAACAAAAAAATAAATCAATAAAATGGTAAATCTAATATTAATCAACTAATTAATTAATAAAAAATGAACTAGTTAATAATATATATTAGAAAAAAATAAAAATATTCTAATAAACCAAATTTTGTAGGGTATTGACATTAAGAAACACCACGTAAGAAAGAGGAATAGAACAGAACCAAAAAGTGAAGATGTTTATCTCAGGTTATTAGTTAAGGTAAATTAGAATGAGCGAGTGAATAATGAAAGGAACAAACAAATAATTTGGTTCAAATTAAAGTCATTAACACACACAGATATATATCTTACATTAACAAATAGCTTTATAGAGTTTTAGCGAGAAGAACAGACTCTAAGTTTAATAAAGTGATATTAAAACGACTATTTATGTCACGAGTGAATAGACCACCAATTTCAATTTCTCGACTAATTTGTAATTTGGAAAAGCATTCAGGTAAAATTGCAGTGGTAGTTGGAACAGTCACAGATGATAATCGAGTATTAGATATACCAAAAATATCAGTTGCAGCGCTCAGAATAACAAAAACAGCTAAAGCGAGAATTTTAAAAGTTGGTGGCGAAGTACTCACACTAGATCAATTGGCTTTACGTTCACCAACCGGTTCTAATACTGTACTCTTACGAGGTCCTAAATCTAGAGAAGCCATTAGACATTTTGGGATGGGTCCACATAAGAACGCCAAGTATGAATTTTATATTATTATTATTATTATTTCATTAATTTTAATATTATACTAAAAAAATTTCTTTTTGATTAAATAATAATGACAATCAATAAAATTTAAAGACCTTATGTTCGTGCAAAGGGAAGGAAATTTGAGAAAGCACGTGGTCGTAGAGCTTCTCGTGGTTTCAAAGTTTAAAATTAAATTATTATTGATTTTATAGCATTGTAATTATCATTGGATTGTTACATTAATAAATTTGCACATTTGCAGTTTTTATCACTAAATTAAAAATTCATAGGCAAAAAAAAACTTAATTCAAGTTTTGTTTGTTGTAAAAATATATGTCTTATAAATCCTTATTGCATCAAGATAAAAATAATTTGAGAGCTAACTTTTTATTTAGATTTTTGAAAAAAATTAAGGAAATTTTCAAGGTTCCAATATTTCAGGAAGTTTCAACTCCTTCCATTTCTTCACTTGGAATTCCACTAAACATATACTGTTCTTGATACTCTTTTCATTCAAAATAAACTGTGAACACGCTAGCCTATTCATAAACAAATAAATTAGGAATCATAGACTAAATTAGAGAATGGATCATCAGATTCTATATCCAAAGACTTTATTTCATCAATTACTTCCTTCTCTTCTTTCTCGTCATCATTATTATTGTTTCTCAATGGTATGAATAATTTATGTGCGTGCAACATCATTCTCCAAGTATCAGTATAACAAAGATTTTCGCATAAATTTTCATAATGATAGTCTCCTAATATAGGATGTTT